AAATTCCCTTGTACGTATCTACATACCACAGTTGCACAAGTTAAGTTTTTTTTTCAAAAACCAACAGATTTTTATATCTTTGGAGAGCAATAACAAAAAAAAAACAAAAAAAAAAATTGCTTTTTGAAACTATAACGAAACCAAATAAATTTTTTTTTTTTTTTTTTCTCACTGCACATATATTTAGGTGTAAGTGTGCGACAATGATGATGCTAACGTGCGTACGATCATCGTAAACCACATCGACATTGCCAACATCAGCTNAAATGGCGCCCCTTTTTTGGATGGTTGACGTTAAAACGACGACATAGATTCCTCGACATTTTCATTATTACTTCCTGTTACAGCTGTTGGATATAGATTTGAAAAAAATTCCCTTGTACGTATCTACATACCACAGTTGCACAAGTTAAGTTTTTTTTTCTAAAACCAACAAATTTTTATATCTTTGGAGAGCAATAACAAAAAAAAAACAAAAAAAAAAATTGCTTTTTGAAACTATAACGAAACCAAATAAATTTGCCGGCATGATATCCATCAGCCACGTATACAGTGTATATATACATATGTACAGGTGAGTATTACCTATACAGCGCGTTATCGCGATCGCGGATGCCCGCGTAATAAAGTAATAAATAACACATCTTGCGTGCACCCTCCTTCCCGTGTGTATATGTGTGCGCGATGCCGATAATTATCGCTCGTCGCTCCGTACGAAGAGACCCATTAGAGACCCATGCGGTGCGTTGGTATTATGTTATATGTACACGTTACATGCGAGTGCGTGTCGCGCACACGTATTTCTTTTTCGCAAACGAGCACAAGGGGAAATAAGAAGAAGAAGAAGGAGATGAGGGAAGAGGCAAGGTGTTTTTCTGGTCCGCGGTGCATGAGGGTCAACTCTGCGGACGCGGATCATTACTGGTTTTACGTCTTCGTCGCTGTACAGTAGCAGCGGCAGTCCTTGTTTGGGACGATCGGCCTCTTATTTTTTTTTTTTTTTTTTTTTTTTGGTCTCCTTGCCGGCAGAGTTTCCTGCTGAAGGCACTCGCTCCTTTGACCCTCCCCCTTGTCGCGAGCCTGTTCCGAATTTTAAAAGCACGCGTGTACTTTATGCGCTTCGTCCAGCCGCACGTGGAATGCGTTATGAGGTATACGACATGTATACGTGCATATACACCGAGGAACAGTTGTTTTTTGTTGCTTCTTCCTTTCTTACACTGGTGATGAGCTGCCGAGTAAGAACGACTTCGTTCCTTCATAGCTAGTTACTAGCTGCCGATGCTACGCTGCGTCGTGTTGTTTCGACGTGCGAGCCAAATAGTTTTCAATGTGTCTCCTTTCCCCTGCCCTCTCCACGTCCCTTACTTTGCCCGCGAGTCGAGTTTTTTGTGCTGGCCTCTTCGAGCGGTCTCGCAACTCTTGTTCTACTACTGGGAAAAGCTGATGAATTAATCAGAGAGCGAGAAGGCTCCTTTTAAGATGCGATCGTTTCGGTGGATCGATGGCTTGCGAAAACTGAGAACTAATAAACGAACTCGCAACAATCACAACTGGTTTACTTGATTTTGTAAAAACGAAGCGAGGTTTTGTGACTTTGCGACGAGTCATGGAATTATTTGCACAAGTTTTAGTTCTTTGGTAATTTTGCGAAATTTTATCATTGATCTGTACAAATAAATCATTGTAAACAAAGAAATCCTCCAACTTTAATGGTTTAATTTACGAAGGCTGCATATTCAATGCAAAAAAGGGATATCGCTTCATCATTTGTACGTGGAGTCACGAGAATCTCCAATAAAACGAACCTCACAATGGACAAACAAATATTTTTTCGTAATTTATTGATTTTATTATTTGATTTCGCCTATCTTGTTATGACTAAGAAGAGCTGCCAGAGGGAAATCCAAATATCGCAGCTGAAAAGAGTAGACCGTCAAGATTAGCCTCGGAAGGCCAGTTGCCACGGCCAATCTGTAAGTAAAAGAGAACTAGTAAAGAAAAGTGTGCAGCTGTCTTTGAGGATATTCCTACGTTCGAGGAAGCTGCTCAAGTGCTGCCATATAATCCTGATTATTTACGAGCTCCGACTTCAGTGTATAATGCTACTAGTCTGTGTCTCTTCCGTCGTGTACTCTTGCCCGGTGATGTACGCAAACAGGCAACTCTGGTGTAACGAGGATCCATGGGTTTTTAGCTGGCCCGTCCTGGAAATCGACTTGTACATCGATTGCAACCCCTCTAACGTTTTATACTGAAAAAAAAACACTCGTGATGTTTTTTATTACCGTTGGTCGTTTACTGCGCCCTTGGTAAAAAAAATAGAGTTTGCACCTGGTGATGGACATCCAACCAAGGCAAGCATCAGGTACGAACACTACTATTTCAGCGTCGAACGACGAAAAAGCGAGATTTTTTTCTTCCTCGGCGTGATGTCGGCCGTCGAGAAATTTCTCATTCTACAGACGGCTGCAGACACGATGTCGGAACTATACAGGGGTTGACAAACACCTGTCAGCGCAACAGTAACAGACTCTGGAAATCAGAGAGCGAACAATCGTGTTATATACGCATTATTGTATCAAGGGGAAGAAAAAAGCCGAGATCAATCCTGTACGTACACTTGAGCCAAATGGAAAACAGTGATTGTTTGCACTCGCGTAACTTCAAACGCGACATGTTTACATTTTATAAGAAAATGTGACTACTTGAAAAGAGAGGTAAAATTTGTATGAATGAAAACTAAACTTTGTGGAATGCACGGCTGTTATACTATTATTATTACCGAAACGTGAATTATAATTATTATATTTTACAAATATTATATTATGTCTTCTGTAATAGAGTATTTCAACAAAAGTCAGACAAGAGTAAACAAATTTTTTTTTTTTGTCATTGTTGTCTTTAATACCTACCATATCGCTTAAAATGCAAACTTTTGCACGTAAGGTACGAATGCTACAATTTTTACCAGTGCAATAGTAGATTTACCATAAAATTCGAATCAATGAAATATCTTTTTTTTTTTACTAGCTTGAATTAAAAAAAATATACGTAAGTATTTAAAGCAAAATCAACATCAAACGAATTAAATGTATAATTTTTGAGTTGGATATCTCTCAAACCACCCTTACATTAGGTTCAAAATTTGTTCAACACCAAAAACCGGCGATCCATGTATTGGTCAGCACTTTTCGTTTAGGGGACAATATAAAAGACACGCCTGTAGAATGGTCGTGCTTAAAAACGAGAACCTTCGCCCCACAGGCTCTTTTCACCGGATTGCCTTCGATGTAAGCGCAACTTTCCATTCCAGCAAGAATAATAGCGTCGTTATCCCCGTAGTAAAAAAACATACGAAGAAAATCTCCGCTGCTCCGTCGCCCCTTCGCTCGATCACGCCCCACCTTCTGTCCCCGAATTCTCATCTCGCTCCGATTTCCAACCCCTACGAACAACTTCCCATATTTATTGGATCGTCAATCGTTGTCCGAGCACGGAGAACTCAATCGCCACACGCAAAATGTGTTAAAACGTCCCTCGGGCCGGGGGTGCGAGAAAGAGCTCTCGAGTCCCCTTGACTTTTTTTTTTTTTTTTTTAAAGAAATGTCCAGGCAAATGTAAGGTCACACATCCCCGCAGAGACTCATCACCAAAGGACAAAGAAATATGCCGAGGGATGAATTCGGATATACTTTTTTTTTCAAGAGAAACTACGCACATGTCGATGCCAAAAGTAAGATTGAGAATTTCAAGTTTTCGGCTCTGAAGATGAGGAAAGTAAAGATTGGATAGCGGAGTAAGGGGCCAGCAAAGTTGTTACGCTTTCTGGTAAGTATCCGTATGGTACCCTAGGCTACTTTGATTTTGTTTTCATTTTCGTAAAAAAAAAAAACTTTTAATCGCGACGAATAGCTTTTGGCTCGTGTCCAGCCTCTTAGGTCAAACTGACCCCTTTTTGGTCAGTACATCGAGTTGATATCTTTGATGTCGTCAATCAGTTTCTTCTTCTTTTTAGTTGACGGTGTGTACGCGCTTTAAATTTAATGTTTCCGACAGTCAGTATTGATTCTAAAATTCAAAAAATCCTGATTACATAAATTAAAAAATTGTTGTATATCATATCATATTTTGTCAATTCTGAATGACAAAAGACAAAAAACCCATGTTGCAGAAAACACAAAAAACTGGCCATTGTGGTAAGACAGTAATACGCTACCTGCAGCGATTCTTCGGAACCTCCCTCGCGCGCCCGTCGGTATAGGTAAATGTACTTATCATCCCAAGATAACCCAAACGTTAAAGTCCAAACTATACTCTGTAGTTTTGCTCAAATCAAATAATTAATGTCTCTATTGGCCCAACATTCCTGTATTATTATTAAATGAAATGAAAAAATCACGAAAAACCCACAACCAAATAGATTCGACTCATAAATGTGGTAGTTGATGTAACTCGTTGTCAGACGAAATCAAGTAGTACACACCCGTTTCGTTCAGACGTACTCGATCGCATGAAAATGTTCGTCCCTCTGACAACTGTACCAATCTACCGATTAATCACAGCCTCCAAAAAAACCCACGGTAGCCATTCCACGGGTAATCCTCATCTGTGTATACAATAAACGTGTGAGGATTCCCCATGGCAGCTAAACCGCTTAGGCTACTCTCGATGTTTATGTGAAAAAAGAAGAAGGAAAGCAGCAGCGCAGTCCAACATGACGATTAATTTGCCCGACACGCGTATCCGAAATTTCTCCTGCGACGGCACGTACAAGGTTAAAGAGAAAATCCATGTGGATAGTCGCAACTGGTGTGGGATGATGATGATGATGCAGACAGGGGGGATGAGAGCTCGATCGATCGGGGCATGCGTCGTCCTCGCTCGTCGAAACAAGCGTGCGCCTCTCGATGAGGGAACCTATACGTGTATGGGACGTGTACGTCAGCTGCGAGGGCGCCGTCGCGCTGACGACCGACCGAGGCGTCCATCTGGCCTTACGCGTGGGTGTGTGCGTGTCGCTCAGGACGGGAGGATCGACGTAGACTTACACCAGATAAGGCCTTGACAGCAGCAGTGAGTAGCATATGTATTCGTTTTTGGCTGTTTTGTGGTTTGTTTTTGTTTTTCCTTGCCCTTTTTTGACTCGTTTTTTTTACATTTATTTATTTTTTTTTTTTTTGTCGTCACGGACGAGCTAATGACCTGCAATTATAACTTGTTGCTCTTGTCACTCGACCCGCGAGGTGTTTTATTTGTCAGCGAAGGACTAACGAGTCTAGCTGGATTAAGAGGGCAAGAAGAGGGTGGTGATTTTCATATGGTTGTCTTACGTTGAGGAGTTTTTTTTTTCATCAATTGATGTGCTGTACTTTGTGTTAATTTACACAGTTAAATAAGAGGTAAAAGCATCGTTTTGTGATTTTTAATTATTTTGAGTAACACTCGCTTTAATTTACTTTTAATCGTTTAATGGATGGCACGTATTGTTTCTTACTAACGTTTTTGATATCTCATGTAGTTGCGTTTGCGCGTATCTATTAAAGAGTTCTGTGCGTACCTACGTGTAATTAGATAAATAAAAGCAACTCTGCGTAATTGCGAAATAATGTAAAACCCATGAGTCACGTGAAATAGATACCTGCTTGGACGCAAATTAAATAAACAGTAGAAAGTTGCGTTGTGGATTATTGGGTTGTGGAAAAAAAAGCAAGTCACGTATTACATTTACATCTGCGTACGTGAATGGGTTGTAAGCAAGCGGGCAGAGTGAGTCGAAGAGTGAAGATGTATAACTTTTCAGAGATGCCGTCGGTCAGGCGTATGATATTGGGGCACGTGGTGTCAGAGACGTGCGCCAAAATAAATCGCAAGAAAAAGCTGGAAGGCGACATGATGGACACACCACTCAAGCGATGTCTTTCCACCTTCGACATCACCCTCCTGGGTATGTATATCCGAGGAAAAAAACTGCGAGTCATTTTCAACGTCCACGAATCATTGATTCCTCCCCTCAGGCATCGGACACATGATTGGCGCTGGGATCTACGTGCTGACCGGACCGGTGGCCCGTGATACTGCTGGGCCCGGTATAATGCTGAGCTTCCTGCTGGCTGGTCTGGCCTCACTGCTCGCGGCCCTCTGCTACGCCGAATTCGGCGCCAAAGTACCAAAGGCCGGCAGCGCCTACATTTACGCCTACGTTTCCGTGGGCGAGTTTTGGGCCTTTGTCATCGGCTGGAACATCATTTTGGAGCACATGATTGGTAAATACTACCGTTACAGCTGTGCGATTTGAGTTTTTGGCTCACATTTTGAGAAAATGTTAGAATTAAATATACACCGAGATAAGGGTCTTACCCGTGTCTTAACATACTTGACGTGTTCTACTGCCAATGTCAACTTGGCACTTGGTACCTTTTTAGAAAAGGTTTCAAGTTTTTAAAAAAAAATACTTGCCTTGGTAATATAAACAGTGATATACAGTAAACGCATGCTCTTACCCGCGTCTTACCATACTCGACTTGTTCTACTGCCAATGTCAACTTGGCACTTGGTACCTTTTTAGAAAAGGTTTTAAAATTTTTGTAAAAACACTGCCTTGGTAAAATAACAGTGATATACAGTAAACGCACGCACTTACCCGCGTCCTACCATACTCGACTTGTTCTACTGCCAACGTAGCATTAAACCGAGCGATCCTCAAACTTTTGAGGCTAAAACACACGTATAGCAGCATGGAAAAAATGATGCATGGATTTCTAAAAAATGAACCACCATAACAATTAGGCGCGGCATCCGTGGCGCGCGCTTGGAGCGGCTACGTGGACTCTCTCTCGGGCCGGGCGATCAGCAACTTCACCAAGAGCCTCGTCTCGGGCTACGAGTCCCTCGGCACAGTTCCCGATCCCCTGGCCGGCGCCCTGTGCCTGGTGTACGCTCTCCTACTGACCGTGGGCGTCAAGTGTTCGGCAGCCGTCAACTCGCTGCTCACCATCGTCAACCTTGGGGTCATGGGCTTGGTCATCGGGCTGGGCTTCTACCACGGTGACATCGCCAACTGGAACTACAATGGCAACGGCTTCCTGCCCTACGGGCTGACCGGTGTTTTCGCCGGTGGGTTGACTTTCTCGTTCGACCATGCACCCGCGTGATTCACCGATTGGTTGTGTCATGCATTCTTTGTGTCCCCTGTCCAGGTGCCGCAACGTGCTTCTACGCGTTTGTCGGCTTCGATTCGATCGCCACGTCGGGCGAGGAGGCCCGGGATCCCGGGCGTAGCATACCTCGCGCCACTGGTCTGTCCATGGCCATCGTGACCATTGGCTACGTGCTCGTGGGCGCCGCCCTGACCCTCGTCGAGCCTTACAGCCGCATCAGCCGGACGGCGGCTCTGCCGGAGGCCTTTGACGCCCGAGGATTGCCGTGGGCGAGATACGTCATCAGGTACTATTTTTGTCGTGGGGGGTTGTTGGGGGTGGTAGTGATTTGAAATAGCCGGGCGTGAAGGGATTGCTTCGTGCGTTCATCGTGATTGGTTTTAGTCGCTGATCCGATTCGTTGGGGGGGATCGATCGACTGATAATTCTTTGATGGATTCGCGGGAGTTTATTTAATATAAAAAGTAATTAGGGAGGGGGGAGAGATTCAACTGAAAGTTGGGCTAATATATAATAGTTGACGATACTTTTCTTAGACTCCTGGGATTGTTATAAAAATCGTAGGTACTGTTTGAGGGTTATAGCCATAAAAATCTTAAGTGTATAGCCAATCAAGAGGGGGTGGGAAATCCGAGAAAAATGATGTGTATATATATATAATGTAAAACATGACTGAAAACAGCGTGGGCGCGCTGTGCGGCATGACGACAACGCTGTTCGGCTCGCTGTTCTCGCTACCACGGACAATGTACGCCATGGCGAGCGACGGTCTGCTGTTCGGCTTTCTCGCCCGAGTGAGTAAGCGCACCCAAGTGCCTACCGTCAATCTGGCGATCAGTGGGGTCTTCAGTGGTCTCATAGCCCTGCTCTTCGATCTCGATCATCTGGTCGAGTTCATGTCGATCGGCACCTTTCTCGCTTACACCATAGTCTCGGTGAGCGTGATCGTGCTGAGGTACAGGCCGGCCCCGCCACCCTCGCAGGCCATGGACAACACCCTGTCGACGGACACGACGACGAGCATGGCCGGTACTACGGGTCCGGGGACAGGTGGCTCCAGTAGCCACCAGCTCGCCTCGCCTGCCAATACCGATCTCATGGCCATGGATTCGAGCGAAAGTCTGTGCACGCCAGTCGAGTCCCAGGTTAACCATTTTCATGAATGACCGTCCTACTATGCGGTAATTTGACAAACGTCACATTGATTGTCAAATATTGGTCGAGCAGCTCACCCGGCAGCTGATACAGGGCTTCTGCACGGATAACATCGGCAGGGTCAGGCCGCGCTACACTTGGTTGGCCAACCTCTTAGCGGACTGCGAGCCGGGGACTGCGGTCACCATGTCCATCGTCTTCTACTCCGTAGCGTGTGCGTCGTTTTGCTCCTTCCTGGTGCTCCTGTCGCAAAGCACGTATTCTCCCCCCTGGTGGGAGTACATTATGGTCATGTTTCTCGTTTTCATCCTCGTAGCAAGTGAGTGGTGTACTTACAGTTTTTTTTCTTTTTTTTTTTTTTCACCCAACACATTTGCGTAACGCGAGTGCTGGCATGGTCGCAGGTATCTTCGTGATCGCGGCTCACCAGCAAAACCCACCGAGCCCGTGCGGAGCAAGTTTCAGAGTGCCGATGGTCCCCTTCGTGCCGGCTCTGAGCATTCTCCTCAACATCGGCCTGATGCTGCACCTGTCGCTCTTGACCTGGTTGCGGTTCGTCGTCTGGATGATAGTGGGTGAGCATTCGCATTGGGAGAAGTAATGCATTTTTATTTTCCGTGCGATGAATGACAAAAAAAAAAAAAAAAAGAAAAAAAACAACAACAACAACGTTGCAACGCAGGTCTGCTGATCTACTTTCTGTACGGGATCCACTACAGCAAAGAAGCCATCGACCCGACGTCCTACGCCGTGCTGATGGAGAGCGCGGAGGCGGAACGGGGAGCCAAGTGGGGCTCGTGCAATCTCCGGATGAACCGAAAGAGCGACGCCTCGCCGATCCTCGGCTCCGAAGTTGGGTACAACGGTAGAAACTTTGACCACTAGGCGAACGAGTCCTTGTACCCACACTTGTATCTTAATCACGCGAATTTAAAAATTGCGACGATTCAAGATGTACGAGAGCTCCATAGGGCGTTGAGGTGCAGAATGAGATGGGTTGGGATTTTAATTTGGGTTGTTTTTGCGAGAGAACGAGAATCAGTGTTGTGCCAACGATACATGGGGTGGAGTGAAAAAAAGACCTCCCTCGGCGGATTTGATGACGAATCTTCCTCCCTTATGTACCAAAGAGAAAGAGAAAACGCCTTTTTGATTTTTGTTATTTTATTTTCGTTAACCAAATCTCACTATAACTATTATGTACACTTAAGGATAAATCACGAAGAAAAAATTATAAATTCAACTGAACTTTGAGTGATTGATAATTTAAAAATAAGTTGTCAATTTTTTATGGTTTTCAAATTAACTCATGTTGACTAATCAGTGAAGAGTACAATGTCACAAAAATAATTTGTATGATTCGTGAAAAATTACTTGTCTTGTTACAAGTCAAAAATCTACAAAGATTAGATTTTACCCGGTACAAACAATAACTCACGTCAAAGCTCAGTAGATTAGAAAAACTTTTTTTTCATGATTCACCTTAATACGTTCAGATGCAAAGTACTCAAGTGTACTTTAAATCTGTGCATATACATAAAAACTGTTCATTGTTTAAAATGGTGTGCCTTGAAATTTATCGGCATTGGAATCTTAATGGAGAGAGAGATAGAGGCACGTGGTGCTATATTTACATAAATGTTTATCGAGCCAGTCCGTGAAATATATGTACGGCACATTAGTTTTACGTATGTTTAACATTTACGAGTTGATGATCGAATTTAGTATAGTTTATCGACTAGCAAATATTTTTGCGAAATTTTTTATTTTTCGGCCTAAATCGTATTTTTGCATAGTGTATACGTAGATATTTGTTCAATATTGTTAACAACTGCTGTTTGAATATTACTCGGGCTGACTTTACGTTTACTTGACAATACCTTGTTGCAGATGAAAAATATATAATGAATAATAATAGCAGTGTACAAAATAAAGATAACACGTGTATGACAAGTCTATATTATAAACTACGAAAATGTGAGGAACAAAAAACAATATACATAAATAAACAATAATTTTTGCGAAACGCTTGAAAAAAATAATATATTTATTCATACAGCACAACACATGTTATACAGCAATGCGAGAGAAGAAGCTTGTAAGAAGAAGTCCAACTATTACATTTGTCGTTACGATTTACATTGTATAATTACATTGTGGGTGTATTATTATTAAGTTATCAATGAGTAATGGTGTAATTGTTTTAAATAATTTCGAAACTATTGTTCGTTTTCTGATGTGATGTCATTGATTTTTAATAAAAACGAGAATAAACAAAAAAACTTCCTAAGATGAACAAAAAATAACTGTTCGTACGAATTTGGTGAATCAGAAATCAACGTTTGCTGAAACTTAAAGTAGAAAAGACAAAATAAACCAGCCAATTTTCCAGTCGCTCGATCAATACGACCAGTTCCCTGCTTTACAAACAAACCGTTGGAAAATCCGACAACAAACGCGCCACTGTAGGCAATAAATGGCAATTTCGCTTGTCAAACACGAACTTGAAACAACGACATACCATATCGATTGTAAAAAAAAAAAAAAAAAAAAATCAACAAAGCCAATCACTATTCGACAACAACAAATCGCCGATAAGCCTCTGCGACTGCCCAGTCACGTGACTCGAGCGGATCGGTTAAATACCGGCAGTGCAAGTCTCAAGGATCACAGTCGAACACTTTCATTGATCAATACCACGTACCGTCCTCGATTCCTCTGTACCTAAAGATGATGTTCAAGTGCTTTCTCGTGGCGGCTCTTTGCAGCGTGCTCGTCCTTGGCGCTGAATTTCACCGCCGTGACGCCGAGATGGCATTCAAGAAGGTTTGTACAAATCGTGACTAATTGTCTTCTGTCAGATTCCTTATAATTAACAATCGTGCACATTTACATTTTTTTCTACAACTTCTATAGTTTATTTTTACACCGTTGAGGAACTACCCGGAAATATTGTGTCTTATCTGCATGAAATTTTCTTTTTCTGTTTTCCTAAGACAAAGTTTAATTAAACCGGTGAAGCTTGCAATAAATCAGTAATTGTATGATAAAAAATATAACTCAATAGAGATGTTGATTTTGCGTTCAATGTTGATTTTTTTTATTTTCTAATTGCAAAGAATTAACATTACATGGGTAGTGATGAAACTGTGAACATTGGCCCTGACACCTCGATGTTACAAAAAATAAAAATGAATAATAATAAAAAAACCCTCCTAAAACGACCTCACATGCTCTAATATTCAAGATATCGTATATTTTACGTGTACCTGAGCCGCATGAATGATCAAGTGCGTCTAAAGTTGAAGTTTTTGATTAAATTCTTTTTTCGAAAATCTAGCGTCAACCCCTGAAAAAAGTTACATCGGTCAACTGAAAAAAAAAATTTCATGTAACCATCAAAGTTTGATGCACTTCATTCAAGTTGTGTTACTACTTAATCGTTGAACTGGTGTGACTTTTGATGGGAAACGTAAAATAATATTTTTCCAGTATACAAATAAACCTCTCGTATCGTTACCGATCGAAGCCAAGCCAAATCACTTGATCTTTTTACAATGAATGTTACGACTGACGGTCACTCAGAGTGTGAATATTTTTCGACAGGACGACAAGCGCGACGACAACGCTGTGAATATCCTTGCGGCCGATGAAGCTCCGGTGGCCCTCGATTTCGCCGAGTCCCGTCAGAATGTCCAAGTCGTAGACGCCGGTGCCGCCCAAGTAAAGAGCTTTGGCGAGAGCCACGATGAGAAACAGAAATCTCCGTGCTGCGGCTAATCTGCTCGAGTGTTGGTCGACCGGTAGAATTATATACGAGGACGAATCGTCTTACACCGAAAAACTTTATTGCAGAATCAAAAGAATATTTACTAGAATACCTAAAGTGTAAAGTTAATCACCTCTTGAAATGAGATTATATTTTTTCACTTTGAGAAAATATGTTTTTGATGTAAAAAAAAATAGTATTTTGTTTCAAGAGAATATTAACTTGGTACTGTTTTAGTAAATAGATTTTCTTGCTTCTAAGAAATTTTTTTTTTCCAGTGTAATGGATGATTTCGTTCAACCGCTTTAAAGTGAATTAATAGATGTATACTCTGTTCTCTTGACATTAAATGCACGATTCAATTGAAAAATGTTATTTAGTCATTTTATCAAGTATGTTTTTCGTCTGAACATTTAATCAAAATCCAAAACCTTTTTAAATTTGGTTTCAATTTTTTCCATCGGATGGTCTTGGAAATCTGGAAAAACCGATAACGCCTTATTTTTAATATCCTCTTCCCCCATGTGAATGCAACCCAATTTACTTTGAAGAATTTGAAATAGTAAGTAGTGTCCTCTTTAAGCTTCGTTAATTTATTGAGATGGATTAAACAATTTTAAAAATTACATGAATTATATCCATTTTTTGACCTAGGAAATTTTCAAAACTCATCGTTTTCTCAAATTTAAAGAATTGGTTGGGAATGAATTTGCAATCGTTTGACATGGACATTTCAAAACAGATTTTTCACTCCTTACATCATAATTCTACTTTTTTTAAATTTCTGTTCTGTCAAATCATTGAAATCGAAATAAGTATAAGTATAATCGACCGACGCTAAAAACTAAAAAGTCTCTAAAATCTAAAAATTAGTAAAAATTGGAGCTCAGCTAAAGCGCCACTTACCCACGTAAATTTACGTAAGGTGGTGAATCTCGGAAGCTACGAGAGATGAGATCAGCGCCATCCCTACCCCTATGGTTATACATTGTGGTAAACATTTGAAGCTCCCAGATGTATTCCAATACCTCTGTATACCTATAGATATCCCCGTGTCAGTCAACATACAAGACAAGAGTCAGCTTCACCGCCATGTTGATGCTCAACTACTTAATTTTATTTATGTCTCGTCTGTGTCTGCGGATCATGACTCACCAGTGACATGATCTAGTACCACGTTTTCCACTTTGTCATATTAACTGGTGTATGATATTCCTCGTCTTAACGATCAAGTGCGTAGAATCAGTCAAGGTGTGGAGTTTACCGCTAATTATCTCAAAACAATTTGATATAAACATTAAAACGCACCCACGCTGTTGAGGCTTGTATATATAAGTATATACAAGTAAAAGCAACATTTTCGTCTGCATCGGGCGTCGTTGTGCTCGTTGTCTGCAGTGTCTGCACGGCATTCTTCTTGTCGGCGTTGCACACTGACAGTTTTTTTACTTGTAACAAATCAACAAAATACAACCCTTTTGTAATAACCCGATCACTACAGGAAATGTTAGTCGGTATAGGTGTACGTGTACATACTTATGTTGCTCATCGCAAATCGCAATGGATTTTTAAATGATGACGTGAACGTGAAGTGTACTCGATTAAATTCCAGTTCTCGTGCCAATATAGTCACGTACTGTTTATATGCTGCATATACTCGTAAGCAATGTTCTTGTAAAGTCAAGTGAATGGTCTTTTTATGTGTAAACTTTTACGCTCTGTAGCCCATCGCGACGTCATTGTTTATTGACACTGTAGTTCAGTGGATATTTGCGCCAGGACGCGGTCATGGCTACTGACAAAGTGACATTATCCGACGCCCTGTCCAACGTGGACGTCCTTGACGAGTTCAATTTGCCCTACGAGCAGCCCTGCATCGAGGCACAGCCTTGCTCTGTCGTCTATCAGGTTAATTTTGACACCAACTTCGAGGACAGAAATGGATTTGTCACTGGCATTGCCAAGTACATCGAGGAAGCTACTGTTCATGCAAGTCTTGTGAGTTTCTTTTTATTTTTTTTTTTTCTTCTAATCGAAACATTTTTAAGGGTTCACGTTGCTAAGAACAATTTTATTTTTAGAACGAATTGCTGGAAGAGGGTCTGGAGCATGCAGTTATGCTCTATACATGGAGGTGTTGCTCCAGAGCTATACCACAGCCAAAGTCCAATGAGCAGCCCAACAGGGTTGAAATATATGAAAAAACTGTTGAGGTGCTAGCACCAGAAGTTAATAAATTACTTAACTTTATGTATTTTCAAGTGAGTCGTATTTTTGTTGTTGTAATTCTCAAAGTATTAAGAAAGGCTTGTTCATCAATCTAATGTCAAATTTGATAATTATTATAAAAAAAGTCGATGTGTAGGGATAGTGTGTATATAACTTAAGCAAACAATTATTAATTTCAGAGAAAAGCAATTGAAAGATTTTCAGCAGAGGTTAAAAGACTTTGTCATCAGGAAAAAAGAAAAGACTTTGTTTCAGAAGCATATCTATTGACACTGGGTAAATTTATTAACATGTTTGCAGTATTAGATGAACTGAAAAATATGAAATCTAGTGTGAAAAACGATTATTCTACTTATAGGAGGTAATTCAAGGCAATTTTTTGACTCACCATACCAAGTTAAGTAGGAAATATGTAACATAATTTCAACTTTACATTATTTTTTAGGGCTGCCCAATTTTTAAAAGTCATGTCTGATTCTCAAACTCTCCAAGAATCTCAAAATTTATCAATGTTTCTGGCTACTCAGAATAAAATTAGGGATACCGTGAAAGAAAATTTGGAAAAAATTCAAGGCTACGAAGAGTTGTTGGCTGATGTTGTAAACATTTGTGTTCATATGTATGAGACTAAAATGTATCTGACGCCTAATGAGAAGCACATGTTGGTGAAAGTGATGGGATTTGGTCTTTTTCTGATGGACAGCGAATTGTGCAATATTAACAAGCTAGATCAGAAGAAGAAGGTAAAGTTAGATAGAATTGATAGAATTTTCAAGAACTTGGAAGTCGTGCCACTTTTTGGTGACATGCAAATTGCCCCGTTTAATTATATCAAAAGATCAAAGCACTTTGATGCTTCCAAGTGGCCGTTATCCTCTTCTATCACTAGCATGAGTCCTCAGGCAGATTTGATGGTACATTTACCACAAATCCGCGAGGATCACGTTAAGTACATCAGTGAATTGGCTAGGTAATAGAGTTTTTTAAGTAATACATTTAATAAAACACATAAAATTGTTTTTTTTTTATGGCCCTAAAACTTCTCTTGTGTAGGTACAGCAACGAGGTTACCACAACTTATAAAGATTGTGGCAGTGATACTGAGAATAGAGAAACTGCTGAATTGGCTCTGCGTGGTCTTCAGTTATTATCCCAATGGACAAGTGTTGTTACAGAATTGTATAGCTGGAAATTATTGCATCCAACCGACCATCACATGAACAAGGAATGTCCACAAGAAGCTGAGGAATATGAGAGGGTAAGATATTACTTTAAGGGATAAACTTTTGAATACTATGAGTTTTTTAAAATACATGAATTTGGTTTGGTAGGCTACTCGGTATAACTACACTGATGAAGAAAAGTTTGCCTTAATTGAAGTGATAGCTATGATTAAGGGTCTTCAAGTTTTGATGGCTCGTATGGAGACTGTTTTCGTTGATGCAATTCGTCGGAATATTTATGCTGAACTGCAAGATTTTGTACAGTTAGCATTGAGGGAACCTTTAAGAAAAGCTATCAAGAACAAAAAAGATTTAATCAGAAGGTACATACATCTATACAGTTATGTAAATTTTTATAAACTGAGTTAAGTAAAATATATATTTTTTTTTTTATCATCTTAGTATTATTGTTTCGGTGAGAGAAACGTGTGCTGATTGGCATTTTGGAGTGGAGCCCACACTTGATCCTGCATTGAAAGGAAAGAAAGATCCAGATAATGGATTTGGTATTAAAGTGCCAAGAAGAAAAGTCGGTAAGTATAATTAAAATTTTCTTCGAGTAACATTCATTTTAAAGCATTATGAAATAAAATTTTTTTAAATATTTAAGGGCCATCCTCAACTCAACTTTATATGGTGCGTACCATGCTTGAATCATTGATTGCTGATAAAAGTGGTGGTAAACGAACGCTAAGAAAAGACATCGATGGCCAATATCTTGTTCAAATCGATCAATTTCATAAAACCAGTTTCTATTGGAGTTACCTTCTAAATTTCAGTGGTAAGTACATTGAAGTACAAAAAACTACAACCATAAAACTTTTAAAACAATAATTCGAAATATTTCAGAATCTTTGCAAAACTGCTGTGATTTGTCACAACTGTGGTACAGAGAATTCTACCTTGAGATGACTATGGGCCGCAAAATACAGGTAAAAATAAAGCAAAGACATTAGTTTTATTCACCTAAGGAAAACTTGCCGGAATAAATTCTTGATTGACAATTCTGTCAAATAATTAAACTATTTCGTTTCTTACTCAATTCTAATTCTTTTCTGTTATTAAAATTCTCATCCTGTTTCATGTATGTCGACGCCTACGCTCCTTCCCATACGTTTATTACCTACTTTTTCTCCGACTGATTTTATGACTTAGAAATGCCAAGTGCGACACCAGCACAATGAGGAATGCAGCGATTTGATCACCATGGAAAAACGCATTCAGGTACTACTCTATTCGACTCAAAAAAAAAAAAAAAAAAAAAAACTGTCATCAACTCATTTAGTACCTAGTAGATGTATAATTATTTATGTATTCCTAGTACCATATGTATATATTTATGGTGTTGCACGACAAGGGAGAGTGGGACTTTGTTCTTACTGCACCACGTAGTTTAAATGTTTACACCAGTGTTTTAGTTGTATGAGTAATGTTGAAATATAATTTTATTCCTTAGAACAGGTCTGTAGATTAAGTATATGTTAAGATTGATGTATCAAAACAGCACAGAAAAGATAAACATTACGTTGATAGCCATACTTAGATTTAATTTTCACAAGCATAATCCAACCATACGAAAATAACAAAACTTCATACCTGCAACATAATTAGTGATAAAAATATTCGGAAGCAAGTAACTGAAGTTTTTTTGCTTAATACTTTTTCTCTTTGCTGTCTTAGTTTATTTATTGTACGTAGTTGATCTAAACGTAATGTAGAATTATTCTTTTCAACGTACTTTTTAGTAATTTAGTAATTTTAGTAATTAATTACAAGATGTGCGGCAATAATTGAACAAATTATTATGAGTGCAGTCTACACACCTTTGCACTAAAGCCAATATGAAATTGTGTATAAAAATATTTCATCATGGATCATTGTTTTTCTCGTCGTACTAACGTGCAACAAAGTTTTGTTCTTTGTTTGTTTTTAACTGAAACTTTTTGTTTAATTACAGTTTCCGATTGAAATGTCAATGCCTTGGATTCTAACAGATCACATTTTAAGAAGCAAAGAGCCATCAATGATGGAGTGCGTACCAAAGAAATTTTTGAGTACAGTTTATTTATTCTTGACGCTTTCAACTAAACATTTGGCCTGATTTTTCTAGATACGTCCTTTACCCATTGGATCTGTACAACGACAGTGCGCTATACGCCCTAACGATATTCCGCAAGCAATTTCTGTACGACGAGGTCGAGGCTGAGGTAAATCTCTGTTTCGATCAATTCGTCTACAAGCTGAGCGAACAGATATTTGCCCACTACAAGCAGCTGGCAGCCAGTATTTTGCTGGACAAGCGATTCCGAGTCGAGTGCTTAGCGGCCGGCGCCTACATTCTCTCATATCCGCGTGCCAATCGATATGAAACGCTTTTAAAACAGAGGCACGTACAGTTACTCGGGCGCAGTATTGATTTAAACAAACTGATTACGCAGCGGATTAATGCCGATATGCAGAAATCGCTAGATTTGGCCATCAGCAAGTTCGAGTCGGGAGATATAACTGGTGTTATTGTAAGTCAACTGCTGGATGATTTGTTGATCAACGATCTTATCTTATGATAAAATATAATTTCTTAATTAATTTTTTTTTTTTTTTTTACTGTACAGGAACTCGAAGGATTGCTACAAGTTAATCGTTTGACGCATAAATTATTAAGCAAATGGCTCGCACTCGACGAGTATGATTCTATGTTTAGAGAAGCAAATCACAATGTCTTAGCGCCGTACGGTCGCATTACGCTGCACGTCTTTTGGGAGTTGAATTATGACTTCTTGCCTAATTACTGTTACAATGCTGCTACAAACAGGTAGAGTAAATTTTTCTAATTTTCTTCATTATCGTGCTATGTGCATTCACTCATAGACTTTCTTCTCATTAGGTTTGTAAAGTGCCGAGGTTTGCAATTTGTACAACCGGTTCACCGCGATAAACCACCACAAATGTCCCATCACTACCACTGGGGTAGCAAACAATTAAATTTGGCCTATAACACGCAGTACGGCCAATACACGGGCTTTGTTGGTCCGCAACACTTCCGCACTATGTGCAAACTTCTCGGCTATCAGGGAATAGCAGTGGTGATGGAGGAACTACTGAAAATCGTCAAGTCCTTGATCCAAGGCAGCCTCCTACAGTTCACCAAAACTTTGATGGAGGCAATGCCAAAGGTGTGCAAGCTTCCACGTTACGACTACGGCTCTCCTGGCGTCTTGGGCTACTATCATGCTCAGCTCAATGACATCGTTCAGTATCCAGACGCCAAAACCGAGTTGTTCCACAATTTCCGTGAATTCGGCAATATCATTCTATTTTGCCTACTGATGGAGCAGGCTCTCTCTCAAGAAGAAGTCTGCGATCTTTTGCACGCGGCGCCCTTCCAAAACATCCTACCGCGACCTTACTGCAAAGGTAAGTGCTGGTTCAAGTGTTTACGTCAATCCTAATTAATCATATAAAAAAAACAATCACGTTCCAATTCAGAGGGAGAAAAGCCAGAGACCAAACAGAAGAGACTGGAGGCCAAGTATGCTGCGCTTCAAATTGTACCTAACGTTGATAAACTTGGAACAGCTAAAGTAAGCACAAACTGTTTTTCGTCTACCAAGAGGATAATTTATGAATTATATTGTCAAATTTTTTCATTTTCCAGCAAGCCATGATAGCCAGAGAAGGAGATTTGTTAACTCGTGAGAGGCTCTGCTGTGGCTTGTCTATTTTTGAAGTCGTACTTAGCAGATTGCGTAGCTTTCTAGATGACCCAATTTGGGTGGGACCACCACCAGCTAATGGTGTTATAAACATTGATGAATGTACTGAATTTCATAGACTGTGGAGCGCCCTCCAGTTTGTTTATTGCATTCCAGTTGGAGAGACTGAATTTACTGTAGAGTAAGTGATTTTTTAAACTGTCTCTATTAGCAAAAATTATCTCGGAGCAAAGTAACATTGAGCATTTTGTAAATAATTTTCAGAGAATTATTTGGTGAAGGATTACACTGGGCCGGGTGTGCAATGATTGTTCTTCTTGGTCAACAGCGACGATTTGAGACTCTAGACTTTTGTTATCACATTTTACGAGTACAACGAGTTGATGGAAAGGATGAGAACGTCAAGGGAATTGTGAGTATCATGTTCTTTTAAGTAATTCCGTATTTATCGATTAATAAAATAAACAATGGATGCATTGACAATCCAAGTATAAACATGACTAACTTTGCATTAAAATTGAAGCCCTAATCATAAGTAACGTCAAAAAACGTTAGTACATGTTTATCAAAATGCTCGACCTTAAAATATATATGTAAGTGTAATTTGTAATTTTGTGTATTTTGCGGAAACAGCGGTTTGATGGGAAAGATCATAACAGCAAAGGAATTGTATGTATTAAAACCGTTGATGTAGATATTACAACTTAGATTTATTGTGATTTTTCAAATCATCATGCTAGTGTCTCATCGTTAGTGTGAAGTCATGATTCAATCATTCGTGATCAATAAAATTTCCTTTATGATTTTCGTAAACTTCACCTTACTAAGAAAATTATTATTCATCAAATCGATGTATAAATGGATGCCCAGATTAAAATTTATTTCTTAATTTTTGTTTACTTGTTCAGAACAAGAATACCAATGCCTTTGGTATTCAAAGCAATGAACATAAATGTAACGTGCTATCAGTCAATTCAACACATGGTTTCTTCCAAGATATCATTAATAGCAGCTCATTTTTCCGATTGCCCGATTTATTACTTTTACTCGTTCATTTGAAAATGTTGAAGCTACATGCGCTCCAAAAAAATTTTTACCAAAAGTAAAATCATTGATTTTCAGCACTTGAAGCGCATGGTGGACAGAATCAGGCGCTTTCAGGTTCTGAACTCGCAAATCTTCGCCGTGTTGAACAAGTACCTGAAGAGCGGCGACGGTGATGCTTCGAGCGTCGAGCACGTAAGATGTTTTCCACCACCGATTCACCCATCGTTGGCCCACATACAACAACATTATCACACACCCGAGTATATGAGACAAATGAATCAACAGTAAAATAAAAACAAATAACAATCGCCAACACCGGACCACGAAGAATTCTTCCTGAGTTAGTGCAAATGAAAGTGGCACTTGTTTTTCTGGAGGATGCGTTTTATAACTTATATCATAAATAACTGAGTTATTGTCTCTATGACTTTATTTATGCATAAATTTTACACCTTACGTCTTATAATGTGCACAATTAATTTTTACGTAAATTACTAGATTTTAACACAAAAGTATTAAAATAGTGTCTTTTATGAATCGTTTATGGTTGAAAGATTAAGTTTACGTTTAACAACTTGTCCCTCAATCAAAAAATGTCTTAAATTTATGTTTACAACTGTAGTGATGTTACTACTATCAAGGCTTCAGTAGCTTATTACCGAGGCCAGAATCGATAAACATTTATCGTTTCTTGAACTGTTTTTCAGTTTTTTTGTGCAAGTGTTTGAATCAATTCGAGAAATGGAAAGAAAAAAAGACTACTAGCTAAATCTGCTTTTGGCATATTGATTGAAATTATTTTCTAATATGTATATTATTAATCGAATTTGTTATATTTTGTTTTTGGATGTCGAGATAAGTGTCATTCAACAGACCAATCGCTTTTATACATTAATAACAATCAAAATAAATGCAAGGAAGAATAAGACATGTTGGCATATTTAAATTCATTCTTTGAATAATCATATTTGTTCAATAAAATGCTTGAAAATTTAATTTATTCTTCAATGCATCCTATAATAAACAATACAGTTAAATCTTTGCTTGTGTACGCCAACTGGTTCCACTTCCTATTCTTCCTTCTTTTAAATCAGATGAAATAAGTACTAAGAAGTATTACCTCAAATCAAAAATGGGAATTCAAATTTTTTTTAATGAGAAATAATTGTTAAGTAATTAAAAACTGTAAATACATTTATAAAACTTCCAGCATTAAACGTTTTTAATATCTTGGACATGTAGTTCATTATTTATTTATTAGATCATTATAAGAAAAAAATTAAATCTAGTATATATTGCATACATGTAATAAACTTATTCTTGAATTTATTTGAAATTCTGTATTTCAAACAATAGAAAAATACTTTGGATTGATCTATCACTATCACACTATCTGATTATTATGACATGGTTGTCACGATCATCCTTCCCAAATTTTTCTTTCATTTTCATGCCCCGGTTTTTATAATTAATTAAATGGCTCTACTGTAAGTCGTAATAATTATTTGGATCAGCGCCATCTAGCGTTGCGGATTTTTGAACTAAAAAGTGGCCTTAAACTTCTGAAACCGAACTTTAGCGCTTAGAGCCATTTAATCAATTATAAACCAGCCGCAACTCATCTTGTAGCTATAAAACAAAAAAATAACGATACACGTGTTCTTAGCGGCAAGTTAACAATCTATCTTTTACTCGAAAATTTATCTTTAAAAGTATAAATACATAGAAGGTCGTTTTTTTGGTAAAAAATAGATTGTTAACTTGCCGCCAAAAACACGTGTATTGTTATTTTTTCATTTTATAGCTTCATCATGAGTTGCGGCTGGTTTATAATTGGCTAAATGGCTCTAATCCTGATTGCTCTGATTCAGAATTTTAGGAGCCACTTTTGGCCAAAAAACAAAGACCGCTAGATGGCGCTGATCCAAATAATTATTGCTATTTACAGTAAAGTCACTTTATTAACTATAAACCAGCCGCAAATAATCTTATAAATAGATAATAAATAGTTGACATTTTCTATGCTTTTTGCGGCAAGTTTACAATTTATCTTTGAGCCAAAAATTGACATGTAAAAGTATAAATATTCTACTCATCTTATATGGCTTATAAAATCAACCATATTCACAAACTTACAATTTACAATACCTTAGACCTTTCACGGCTTTCACCATTGACTAGCACCAGTCGATGAGGAACGATCCCGTTTGTATCATTATCGGTATAGCGGGGACCTAACTTACCTGTCACAGTACCGACGGTCCGTAGCTAGTAAACGAAATCCTTACTATATCGATAGCGATGCAACCGGGATCATTCCTAATTGACCGACTCTCGAAAGCTGAGATTGCTCATTGCTGAGAAAATGAATATCGCTAGATGGCGCTGATTCACATAATTTACATTGTATTTCATTTTTATTATTATTTTTAATTAGCTGACTGCTGGCACTGCTGGCAGCGCTAGCAGAATACAACCAAAAAATCGTCCAATGTGTCAGTCGCGTCAGAGTCTTTCATTATAAAATAAGGTAAATAAATACCACAAATAAGTGCGTTACAATCAGTGTGTAGAAAGGCCAATTGTATACGGTAGAAGAACATCTGTCGAACGTCAGGTCGAGGAGTCGAGCTCCAGAGAGCGGTGACCTAAGCAACAGCTGGTTTTCTGGCAACGTGAACAAAGCATACAAGATCAACCACTCAATCAGACTGTCAGGATGGATTTTGGTAAGCTGCTGACTATTGCTCAGCAAAACAGTAATTATAAGCCCAAGGCATCTTGTGAGGCCAAGTTAACTCCACCTAAGAAAGAGTCCAAGAAGTCTAAACAGTTGTCTGACAACATCAAGAAGTTCCTGGCTAAGAGAGAAGAAGAAGATAGGCTGAAGGCTTTGGAGGAGAAGAAAAAGAAAGAGGCAAGTGTTTTTTCCTCACTTCATCGTTCTTCAGTCTGAATGAGACTATTCACAGTTGTCATTTAGTATGTCTTGTAATTGTAGGATTTTTTGGCTCTGAGGGATCAGAAGGCACATAATCGTATCAGTAAGCATTTAAAAGTCTGTAAAGCAGCCAATAAATCTGTTATTGCTGATGCTATTGACAATGAAAACACCGCTATTACAATTGCAGGTGAGTTATTTTACATTAAAAACTAAATCAGCAATGTTTCAGAGATTCATGTTTATTTATTTTTTTTTTTTTTGTTGACCAAAAAGTAGATATATTTATGTAATGGTCTTCATTGTTTGAGGTTAGAATTGTAGTTATGCCATATTATACCCATATGCAAATCGAAATTTCATTAGGAATTTTTGTATTCATTCAGTGCTTTGTTAATTTAAGGACCAGCACAGTGTGACGAAGATGATTATGGATATGTTTCTCAAGAAGCATCTGCGTTGTATGATAAATTGATGAATAAATACAATTCTCTGCCTCCGGAGAAGCCTTTATTCAGTAATGATGGTAAAAAGATTGTAAAAGATATAGCGTCAACAAAGGACAGAGTTAAACAAGCTCTGAAGCAACAAGCAATTGAAGAATCTCAACCGCACAGGAGGAAAAGAAGACATAAAAATTCTGAATCTGGTGGGAAAATAAAAGATGAAAATGAGTCTGAGGATAGAGAAGGGGATAAGGAAACAGAAAAAGATAGAGACAGAGAGAGAGAAAGAGAACCAGAAAAAGAAGAAAAACCTCGGCCTAAAAAAAGACCCATGCCCCCACCTTTGGAGTTTACAGAGCTTCTAAAAATTGCCGAGAAAGTAAAGAATGAGCCAATTAAAATTGAACCAAAACTAAAACCTAATCCTGATGCAGAAAGATTAATGACCAAAAAGCAAATGCAAGAGTATGCAAAAGAGAAAGAATGGCGAGAAAGGAAAGAACAACGCCGTTTGGAAGGTCAAAAATCAGCACATACCTCAAATGACAGTGGTTCTTGTAAGCCTTCGTCTTTTGTTAAGTCTGTAGTAAAGCCAAGCAGTAGTAAAACTGCTGGTGATGTTCTCGAAAAGACTGCTATAAAATCACTGCCACCAATTGCTAAAAAACCAAGTGACAGACCTGCTGATAGGAGCAGCTCTACAAACAAGCCTATTGAAAAGAGCAACAGTATGCAAAGGTCCACCGAGAAAAGTAGTAGCATGTACAAGCCTACCGAGAAAAGTAATAGCTCATATAAACCAATTGATAAAAATAATGGCTCCTACAAGCCTACGGAGAAAACAAATGGCTCATACAAGCCCACGGAAAAAAGTAACACTTCATACAAGCCCACCAACAGAAGTAATGACGTATCCAGGTCTGCAGATAGGAGTAAAGTTCTAGAAAAATCTTCCAACAGTAGCAGAACTGCCGAAAAAAGTAATACTATCACTAAAAGTGCGCCAAAAGTTTCTGAAAAAGACGAAATAGCTGAGGAACGCAGAAAGTTGCAAGAAGAAAAACTTAAGTTGGAAGAAATACGGCGTTCCATTGAAGAGGAAAAGAAGAAACTTCAAAAAATCAAAAAGGTTGAAAATAGCAGGCCAAACAGCTCTGCCTCACAAAAATCTGCAAGTGGCCACAATAGTAGTAAGCTCAAAGAATCAGTCAAACCTTCCTCATCGTTATCAAAGAGTGGTCCATCCAAGCAAGTTTCGTCAAGTGCCGTAAAAACAAGACCTTTCTCACCAGCTGATGTTAGACCAAGACAATTTCCTCCTGCTGATGTTAAGCCAAGACAGTTTCCACCTCCAGATGTAAGACCATTAAAACCAAAATCTTCAAAACTCAAAGTAAATAAGCGTAAGTTTTGACAAAATTTTAGTATTAATAGATACTTTTTTTTTATAATAAATTCTTTTTCTAATATATCATTTAATCCATACGCAGGTCGGATTTATGATGATGAGGATGATTATGATTCGGAGTTGGACGACTTCATTGATGATGGTCCAATAGACGAACATGAAGATTACAGCAAGTACATTAGTGAAATATTTGGGTACGATAAAAGCAAATACCGAGACTTCGATGATGATGACGCTGTCATGGAGAGTAACTTTGCTCAACAGTTAAAGGAAGAATTTGTATCTACCAAGCAAGGTATACATTTGTTTGAAATAGTGATAATGTGTAACATTTGTTATATGATGAAATTTCATATTCATTTTTTAATTTTTTCCATTCTATTTTAGGAATACTGGAAGACTTGGAAGACATGAGAAAAGAATCAATGGAAAAGAAACGGAAAAAACAGCTTCTCGAACAATTAAAGAAAAAACGGAAATCGTAACAAATATTTAATGCAAGACAACCGCTGTTTTAAAGTATCTGGACAAGTAAAAAAAAATATTGATAAATGAGTATTTTTATACGTCATGAATGATATTTCTTTGAAAGTACTTTAAATACTTTTATAATCAAGTGTAGGATGACATCTAAACTGTATTATACGTGGTGTACAGAAATAGTTTTTACTTTTTTCAAGGAAAAAAGAATTATTAACTGCAATCATGTTAACCAACTTTGCTTTCAGCTGATACATTAAAATACTGATTTATACACAATGATGTTTTGATAAGTTATACTAGATACAGATAAAGTATTTTCAACTAGAATAAAATTGAAAGCGTTTGAGAAGTTGTTAAGGCTGCAAATAAAAATAACGAGAGAATAAAAATCTCACAACCTATACAGATTTTTCAAAATTTTATTCAAACTTCAACTTATTACACTTTGAATTTATTTCAAGTCACAAAATTAATCTGTAAATTGATATATTCATTGAAGAAAAATTGTATACGAAATTTTAAAACTTGATTTATTACTGTGAAATATTTTTATCTTAGGGTCAAGTTATCAACTTATTGAAATTCATGAAATTTTCCAAATTAAAATCGTTAAACACTTCAGATGAAATGCACAAGTGCAATAAACATTGCACGTTCCTTAACAGTCATTATTGTAACTGTTTATTAAATATGTTTTTGACTTATGTGATAAAAGATCAAAACTGTTCTTAGTTGTATCGAAATTGTTAACGACCATTTATTTTATGGACGGATTAAATACTTTATTGAATTAAAGACAATTAAGTACCTAAATCTGCGTTTTTTATTTATAGATTAGAATTCATGTAACGTAACATTTCAAATCAATTTAAAATTCATCAATAAATATACTCTTGCTTGTTGCACGAATAAAAATAATAAGTGTTTACAAAAGACCCTCCCCGAACGAGTGTCAAATTATTCACCAATATACATCCCAAGTGGCTGATATGTATAGGGAATCGAGTGAATGTTTAGCTGCGTGTACACAGGTGTACAAATACTACGAATTCCGGCCATTGAGACGTATTACTCGTCTAGATAGTCCCCGAGGAACGCACGTCATCAGTTAAAATAGTTAAAACAGCTATGGTTATTTTAGACTTAAAAAGTAAAGTTCGATGTAATGCAATTGTAATCAAAGCGGGTAAATCAAGAGCATGGACACTCGAAATTTCTAAAAACACAATATTATTCCCTTCCTTCATTATTGCATATGTTGCATATGTCTGGAAAAAAAAAATGTTCAAACCAGAGATTGGATTAAAAAGAAGGAAAAAAATAACTCGAATTCCCAAGCGACCTTACGCTGCTCAATGGGCAATCAAATCAACAATCAAAGCAACGCAAACTCAAATAACCCCAGCCCAAAAGTAAAGCAGCGAGATCTAGTGGAGGTACTGAAACAAATTGCTCGTCGAGTTCTTGCTGGGTATCAAGCGCCGAGCACCGGATCCCTCGTGAACGACGTCGTACTCACGACCCTGGATCGACATGGTGTTGTTCTGGAACCCACCAGCAGCGGCAGCCTCGGTGCTCATCTCGTACGACGGTGGCGGCGACCTCGACGGCCAGCCTTCCTTTGCCGACAGCACTGCCGGTTCACTGGCTCCGTAGTCCCGGGGCTCCGTGTCCTCGATCTGGCCCACCTTGGACAGCTTCCCCTTGAACTTGCCGCACTTGGCAAACTTCAGGACCAGCCTACACGGGTGAGAGAGGTTTTTTTTGTTTTCTGTTGGACGGGGATGGACTTTAAGAAACGTGTATTACCAGCTCAAGACCTCCAGAGCCCAGAGACAGCCTGCCGCGGAGTAGGCGTAGAAGCAGACCTTGTAGGTGACGTAGAGATCGGAGACCTTCAGTTGGCGCTCAATCATCGTTATGTCGAGCGGACAGACCTGCGACACGGACGTCATCCTGTTACGGTAGTGCTCGACGAAGCCGTTCTCGAAGGCGACCATGATACTGCGAAATTTGGGTGGTCAAAGTATACGTGTGGCTTGAAACAATGGAAAATAAAATTTTAAAAAAGTGCTGGAGCCTCACTCGCGGCGAAAGTACTTCCGGAGGATCGATTTTTTGGGAAAAGCGTAGCCACGAAGCTTTTGAAAGACCCTCTTGTCGCTTATGGCGTAGCGACAGCGGAAGTTGTCGGGTATCTCCTTCAGGGTTTGGTTGATGTAGTCCTTCTGGATCGCCAGCATGGCCACGGTACGGTCGACTATGAAGACCCGCTCTGCGACATTTTTGAAAATACCCCGTTACTCTTTGTAATTAAACGTTCGTTGGCACCTTTCATCGTTAAAATCGTTAACTGACTGTCCGCGTGTTTCAAGATGTTGGTGAAACTCATGTTGTAATCGGTGGAGGTGTAACCGTAGCCCCATTTTCTCGAAGTTATCAGCGGCTGCACCGCAGGATCGTTCTGTACAGCAAGGACGTTGTGTTTTCTTAATCAAGGGTCAAAAAATGTCGTAAAAAATGGACGCGTGATCTTGTTATTGTGCTTACGTGTTGAATGAGGGTGTCTACGGATCGGCCCTCGACTATCCACCACGAGTACCTCCAGTAGAGCAGATCTTCGATCGAATTTATCCACAAAGTGAACTTGTTCAGGGTGAAAAAGGCCGTCAAGTTGGCCGTGTAAAACGACGACAGTATAGTTATGTATATCCACCAGAATGAAAACGATATACGAATGGAGTCTGTAACGAATGTGATTACCGATCAACCGTAACGACACACATAAAAAATATGCGGATCAATGGTGACTATGAATTTTTGATTTTTACCTCCTGGCGGCGCGACAATGGTGCCCTGCTTCACGAGAGCTCCGTAAGCCCACCACAAGCACATGAAGAAAGTAAACTTCTCGCTGCCCTCGCACTTGCTGAGTCTAGATCTGCAAAAATCGGCGTAGCGGGATGCGTTTGGAACGCGATTCTCGACATGAATCGCCGTACTTACCTATTGAATTGTATTGATCCGTGGGCTTACCTCAGAATGATAATGATGTAAATGGCAGGTCCGATTATGAAGATGGAGAACAAAATGGCCCACCAGACGCGCTCGCTGAAGGGAGCGAAGAGACCGGTACCGGTAGCCGATGTGCCGGGTCGAGGGATCAGGAAGGTCATGTCCATCAACTCGATGGCGTCGCTGAAGTCGACGTACTTTGCCAATTCGGGTATTATCGGGATGTGCGAGACTGCCATGTCGACCTCCTGAGGCGCGAGAGGAGTTGTATACGTAGTGTGGATATTTAAACGAAAGAAAAAAATTTTTTTTTCTTCGTTACTTTGAGCTAATGTGTGGAAATGATTACGATCGACGCGAGCGAGGAATCTGTTTTCATCAGACGAGAGAGTTGGGGATCGATTACATCGGAAAGCGATATTAAAAGCCACTCTCGCGAACTTTTCGGATCTTATCCAAGATACGAGTGAAGAAAATAAAAGGTTTTTGTTGTAAAATTTTGAAAGATACTCCTTTGTATTATAAGCTAACGATGATCGATCGTAGCTATACGCTTGTGACACGCGTGTGATGGAGGATCAAAACTTTTTTTATACGACTTTTCTATGCTGTTACAATGAAAATGAAGATCGAACTATTGATATGGAAAATTTGAGCAAGAAATCCGAGTACTCACGTTTTTATAAAGTTGCTTTATCATGCCAGTGGTACTATCGCCAATGACATCTTTTTCCGGTGGTACGATTGTGTAAGTAAAATTGAACTTTTTCATTAATTCGTGAAAAAAATCAAAACACAGGCCTCTGCCGACCAACGTCCCATTCTTGTTTATTATTTCCGAGTACGGAAAATCCTGGGAAAAGTTTTTTTTTANATAAATAAATACGTTGATTTAAGATTAAATAAAATACATAATCAAAATAATAATAACAAGGATTTTTGCAAAAATTTACCTTTCAATGATACAAAAGTGTTTCATTACATAAAATGGATAGAATTAAAAATTAAAAAGACTGCAGATGAACATGAAGTGATAGTAGTTTACAGATACATCAATAAATACAAATAATTTAACAACTTGTATAAAGATAAAATAAATAAGACTGAAAAATGCAATATCGTTTATATGGTACAGTTATTAGGTGGTCCATGTGGCAATGTAGGTCAGAGTAGTAGAAGTTTAGAAACGAGAACGAACGAACACAAAATAAATTCTGAAAAAATGTAAAACGTGTAAGCCTGATTAATATTGTAATATTTGTAAAAAGGAAAAGAGTGAATAATCGGCTTGATTTGCCCATAATCTTAATACAGGACATTTTTTTATTTTTGATTGGGATGCAATAAAAAATTTAGACCAAGAAAAAAATTACTATAAACGCTTAGTTTCAGAAATGATTCACATTGCAAAACGACAAAATAACAATAATAGAATCAGTGACACACAAAACTTAAGTTCGTTTTTTTAAAAAATACATTGATAGTTTTATAAGCTGATAACCACTTTTCCGTTTTACAACAGTTTATTATTTGCATGTTATATATTTTTTGTTTTATTTATTTTATTTTATTAATTGTTACTTTCATTACTAATTGCCACTATTTAAATACTGCACCTTTTTAACACTTGTTCGTTACGAGGAATGTATTTTATTACGTTGCAGTCATTGTACACATGTGATATGACCATCAGTACACGTTGCATAGTAAGCACAGCTACATTGTTAATTTTTAAGTCAACAAAATATAACTTTTGTTATATTCATTTTGGAGTAAATATTCGACGTTGCTTACTTGTAAGTTTTGAGAGTCAACCATTGATATCGTTTTCTTGACTTGTGTATGATTTATGTGATTTGTAAGTAAGTTGTTTTTTATTTTCTATTGTTTTAGTTTGCTTCTATAGGGTTGTCAATATACAACCGAGACGTTGTACACACTTTGGATCAAGAATGAACTTTTTGACAGTATGCCGTAAAATGCATTTACTTTATTTGTTTTTCTACAGAAGTTAAGTCACCATACATGTATAATTGACTGTAAAAAGTATAATTAGAATTAATTATAAGAGATTTAGGTAATATCTGATAAACTTGACTTTGAATTATTAGTTATTTATAGTTTTTTTTCTTTACTTACGGCACTAAATAATGCGAAAGGGAAAAGAATTTTGTAATATTGAATTACATATCTTAAATCATTATCGTTTTAATAGTTGCTTTAACTTACTATTATGTAAACTTAAAGCAGGTGAAAATAATCTTTCACCTTTACAAGAATTGAATTTTTGTCTTTCACTTTGCCAAAATTTCGCACAACAAAACTCGCTATGTTAAGATTCCTAGAAATGTAGCTTATTACGTTGTAGCTATTGTATACATGTGATATGACCATCAGTACACGTTGTGTAGTAAGCAGAACTACATCGTTAATTTTTAAGTCGACAAAATATAACTTTTGTTACATTTATTTTCGAGTAAATATTTGACGTTGCTTACTTGTAAGTTTTGAGAGTCAACCATTGTTATCGTTTTCTTGACTTGTGTATGATTTATGTAATTTATATACAACTAAAACATTGTTGACAATTTGGATCAAGAATAAACTTTTCGACAATATGCCATAAAATTTATTTACTTTATATCATAATTCATGTTCACAGTTTTTTTTTAGTTTTTTTTTAATTCCTACATCACAATGTCGTAGTCAGTTGTAATGACCACTGTTATTATCATGAGAACTCTGTTTTGGCGTTTGAACTTACATTAATAGTGGTTATGCTGATGTGCGAGGGAAAAGGCGGCAATTTTTCCCGCATTTTCGTAATTCTTATGTATAAAGTATCGAAAAATATTTATTATGACTAATTTTCAGGAACAATGGTATCACTGGGCGACGTACAGCTTTTCCGTGTTGTCCTCCATTTTTATAAAGACCATCAGTGACGCAATAATGTAAAAAGCTATGCCGAAAAGTAGTTTTCTATCAAAACTTGTCATCAGATCAAAATCACTAGTTCAACGCAAATGAAAAATTAAATACATAATTGTAATATGTTTAAGAAATTAAATGATGCACTTATCGCTTGCAACATCACATTAACATTGTTAATTTTGATAGACTTCCACTACGAATATTTAATTATTTAATGATCAAATTGACACATTAAAAGTTATATTTTTTTATGTCTCGAATTAAAACAGTTTGATGTAAGGTCATCGAAAATCGTTGGAATAAAAAAGATAAATAAAAATACAGCGATATTATGGATATTTGCACAATCATACAACGTAAGTAATCCAAATAGGTGTTGATGCTGATTGGTTAGCAAACGATATAAATCTATTGTTATATCATCAAAGTAATAATAAACCTATGAGTTATTTTCAATCGGCGTGAAATTACCAAAATTTTATCGTTAACAGTTACTTAAATACGTCCTTTTTGTCGTAAACTTTATGATTAGAAAACATAATAAAATTAATAACCAAGAAGTAACGATGAGCAAGCATTTGCATAAACCGTGTTATAGTTATTATTACCGAGTACAAAAATAAAGTTGTGTTGATTTTGAATAAATAAAAATGGTAAAAACGTAGCACCACTAAAAACGTGTTAACAGGTATTTGGTAGAAAATCAAATGGATTTGGGATCGTACAATTTTTAACAGTAAAATTTAATGCACAAAAGCATGAGGATACAAAATGTCCTGTCACAGATTAATCAGACTGGCAAATTCTTTTTATCCGTGAAATAAATATACGCCACTTTACTGTAGTCTTTTTATGCTGATAATTTGAGGGAAAAAATGATTCAACACAATAGACCTGGTAAAATCGCTAATAATAAATTGATTTAATTTTTCTTGAAAACGCTATTAATGTAAAAAATTGTAATGTATCTTATTATCTTAAGACACTCGGACGCAGTATTGCATATTTGTGCAAATTTTGTAAAAATGTAAAACTATAATAACCAACTTGACAAACGAAAAACAGATAAATCTAGATTCATTTCCTTTGATCAAAGCTCCGCAAATATATTCGAGTGGAAGTATAAATCGTAAAATAAAAAATTAAAATAAAACCGATTTAGATACTCTTCAAAGATAAAAAAAAGCCCTTACTCTTACTGGACCACCCGGAAAACTGTCCAAAACCACCCAAGTGTGAAAAACGCGTTAGAAGTAGACGTACGAAAAAACAAAGCGTACAGATCGGTAGGCGCACGACTCGGCACTGACACCTCTCGTTCCGGGCGTTCTATAATCGCTTCCACTTACCAGCCCTCCACCTTCCCCGACACCCCTAAACTCCGTTCACGCGTCCTTTCATTTTACGCATATACTCCCTTTCACGGGCACCACTACGAGCACCAACCAATCGACTGCTCGAACGTGACTTCGGTTATTGGAACGTTATTGGAAAAAAAAAGTAGTAGCCATGTATGAGAGAGACCGAGAAGGTCGGGCAAGTGTGACACTCGTCACACTGGCTCTCATACATGTCGAGATGGTTAGATAAACAGATGTTATCGTGCAAACGGCGGGTTTGCGGCTGGGGTGGTTCGAAGAAATAGGCTCCCGATTTGACGGGGAATCACCATAGCTGGAGCCCAAATGCCAGTTACATATACACATATACGTAAGGAGCGAGGGGTGTAGCTTTGGATGGATTGAAAGTACATAAATACGTTCTCTTGCGCCACTTAGGCTCTCGTATGGTATGTAGGTGATGCCGATTAACCGGGTGAGACGTGTGTGCAGAACGAGTGCGTATACGTAGGTACACTAACGCGTGGCTGTCCCTCTCGAGCAATTATGCAGCTCGATCGATCCTTTTTTTTTTCCCGCTGACCCGATGATGATTATTGCCCGCCCGCCTGCTCTTTTTTTTCCTTCGTGTATTGTTTTTATCGATTTCTGGTATACGCTTTTCCGACTGCTCTCGTGCGAGGGGTTTTTTTTTTTTTTTTTTTTTTTCCAACCTTTGCGTCAAGGTTGTTCCTCCGTCCATGTGCGTATTGCAAAAATTTTGTGCGCGTGGTACTCTTAATTTATGAAAATTACTACTCTCGGGGTGCACGTACCGGTAACGATGCTTTCTCTGTGTATATGCAAAGGCCAAGCTACACTGACGTGGAAAATTCTAATTCTCTTTATTTTTCAACAGCGCGCATGTATACTTACTTGTGTCGCGATTGTTGTTGTTGTTGTTGTTGTTGTTTTACAACTTGCTCGCCCCAGTTTTCTGTTTGATTTAGTATACTGCGTTTGAACAAACTAACGTTTGTTGCCGTTGATGTTTAGAATATATACATAAGCTATTCGGTGGAAGGACAATATCAACACAACTGTATTTTTAATATGTTTTGTTTGATGTAAGTTTGCACTTTTTTCGAAGAAGAAAGAGTTGAATTTTGAGTTCGGGAAGCTCGAAAATTATTGTTGGAACTATCTATCGTTATCTCGATATTTTATGACATTATAAATGTTCAGAAGGACATCGATAACCAGTCGCTTCGACAGCATGTTGAAGTTGTTTGAAAAAAAATCTATCAGTGCGCATGAATTATGCAAATTTTTATCGATAAACATGAATAAAATATAATTGAAAATTTAAAAACTTCTGGTAAAGCTTGGAAGGTCGAACTTGGTCATGGATATAGTATACTAAAAAAAAATTCGTAAAAAATTTCAATATAATGTACTAAAACGCTGTTCATGGTAATGTCTCTTATTGTGTAACAATTGATCAATCAACCTATCACATCCGTGTGAACTAAGAACAAAAATAAAATTTCTTTGTGCTATTACAGTTGTCTAGTAGGAACTTTTTGCTATTTATAATTTAATTTTTATATGGCAAAACAACAATTTTGTAGGTAGAAACAATAAAAATTACTGTACCAAAACTATAAAAATGACTGCTTAGCACAATAATAAAGTTTGAATTGTGCAGTAATTTTACGTAAGGTGAATACACAAATAAATAAATAAAACTGCCATTCGAAACAAGCCTCTCGAAGCCAACTTTCCGTAAAATTCACATTATGCAGTACCACTTGAACGAAGTACCTTTCCTCCTATACTTTTTTTATCTCGCACACACCGACAATTTAAAGTCGCGTGCGCATCTTGATTTGTCTGTACGAGCTTGCGCTGTCACGTCTCCATCAGCGTTTTCTCGAGAGAATTTTCAGACGAAAGATGTCTGCCTATACGCATGGCTCTCGTAAATCGAGTTTGGCTTATTTTTACGGCCATAGCGGAGTCAGCAACATTCTTAGTTTATACACAAGATTCCAATTCCAAAAGCCCAACGCCATGTAGCATCATCAATTGTTGTCGTGCAAAGTGTATAGTACTAATAAAAATACTTGAGTGACTTTGCCCTTAAAAACAGTTTTTTCATCAGCAATACAAGCAAGCATTTTTACAACATTTTCACTTCACCTCCTTGTATATATACATAATCATTTTGCCCGCGAAGCCATAGCTATCGCGTGGACTCATTGCGTCAACTAATAGTTCCACGAAAAAAGCCGTACACTTGCGTCACAAGTGTACATTAAAATCGATCGATCGAACTCAATTTTTTATTTTTCCTAATTTTTTTTCTCAATCTAAAATGACTACAATATAGCAGCAGTGGCGTTTACGAGTAAACAGCTTCTGTATCCCGCTTCATTTCGTGAGCCATCATCTCGAACGAAAATGACGCTTTCTTTCGATCTAAAAGACAAAGCGGGACGTTATACCTAGATAAGAGGCGGAAGAGAGTGTAATAACAAAAGAGGGGGGGGAAGAGGGAGAAGATCTCGCACATAAATTTTGCGAGAGGATGGGGAAATAGTAAGCAAAGGAGGAGCGAGCGCCAGCTGATAAATCGCGCCCACCACCCATTCTGACTACTCGTTAATTGAAATCGTCTACGGCGGCTTCGCTCGATGGCATCGAGGTGGAAAGATAACAAAAGGATTTTTTTTTTTTGGTCTCTCAACCACGAAGAAACAGTTGGCTTTGCTGTGATGATGCGAGGTGATGATGCGAAAAGAGCTCGTTTTTTTTATCATTCCTCGCGCTTGCAGCACTATCGTTCGATATTGGAAGTGAATGGGCCACAGAAAGGTGATTCGAAAATAAAGTGCAAGGACAAGGAGCAAGATTAACAATGAGATTTTTCTCTTTTTAGTGTTTCCCCGCTCAATTATTCCGTTCATCAACGTCGAGGATCGAGCGAACGTATGGAAATAGGTACACGATACACGATGCGATTCAATAAACATGTACATTCCGTATGTGAGATTGGCTCAGCGAGAAATACTCGAAAGTGTATTACATATTTATTTCGAGCTCTGCAGTAAGTCCTAAATAATAAAAGCAGCCCTGATGGTTGCTCCGGTCGAAATTAATTCACACGAAGTATGTGTCAATGTAGAGGCTGGCACTCCGTCGCGGGAGTATACATGGATCATTATACCACAAGTTTTGCAACTATTCAGATCAAAAACCCCTGAATTCTAGAAGGTCATTTTTAAAAATTTTTCCACTTGACTTTTCATCGTTATGAAATCATAAGCAAACTTGAAATTACCTTCAACCCGTCATTGTTGCAGGTTAAAAGACATAGTGTTTTTTTAACGCTCTCTGCGGGCCCAAAATAAAAATAAAATGTTATTAGAAATTTTTATTCGTGGTCAATATTTTTTTTTTTAATAAAAAGTGCGTACGTTTTAAAAACAAAATAAGTTTGTATGTATATCCAAATTTTTATATTTGCGAATGATAAACTTTGTTGATATTAAAATATAATATGAAAAATATTGATTTTGCAGAATATTATCTCAAAACATTTATGACAATTTTTGGCCAAAATACGAAAATGATTGTCATTTCTCTACGTTCTTTGTATAACATTAACTCAACGAAAGCGAACAAATAATTTAAGCAATGGTACTGGGCAATTACTTGACCGACCAAACAATTTTGTATCTAGTAGTGAGTCGCGGGTATTCATAGATTGAATCCAAAACCAAAGAAAACATTTAGAAAATTTTTTATAATTTCAAGTGTTCTCTGAAAAGTATTGACTTGGTTTCTTCTCTGTTCCACAGAACATTTAAAAAAAATTTCTGTTCAAATCAAGTTAAAAAATAAACGTTGATTCTAGACAAAATGGCACATTCTAAAGTCTACTTTTAATTCTATGTATCAGGTATATGTAGGTAAGAATACTACATCAGGTACTTTAGAACCTCGTTTCAATATTAAAACTTTCAATGGAATGACCCATATATATATATGTACACCTTGTACCTATTTGTATGTTTTACATTTATTTTACAGCAGCTCCACTCCGAATGACTTGGCTTAATTTAAAACTATGCCATGAAAATGCAAAAGAGATTGCCTGACGATTATTTATTATTTATTGTTATTTTCTATGATTTTTATTAATTATTTTTTACTATTATCACTATTTTTTTTTAAACATATTGTTTTATAGTGTACCATTTTTTGGTATTGAATGCTGTACTTTCCGCGTTATTAATAATCTTGGAATAAACTGGTAAATGTGCAGCATAAATATGTATAAGAGTGGAGTGGAGTAGCTTGCAATAATTAATGTGACGTGCTTGCGATATAATATCTACTGTGAAGAAATTTCTGGAATGGAGCAAGAAGAGGAAATGTTGAAAATATCAACTGTACCTGTTTGACGAAAGAGCATCGGACAAGTCAAAAGTTCAAAGAAACGCGAATTCGTCAGTTAAATAAAAAGGGGACAATTTTCTCATTGAAAAAACGTGCACTGGCTCGTGAACAACAATTCTAGAAATGATTCAATTGTACGGGCACGTAAGTATTATGTCAGACATACACTATATTTACAAGTAGCGCATAATCATTTTTTTATTGCAAAGTAAATATACACATCAATTGACTCTTGGAAGGTGTTGGGAAGATCAGTGTCGTCGAGTTGAAAGGAAGTTAAGAAATGTTGGGGGGTAGCGTCATCCATTAGGGACAAGCGCGATAAGTGTGGAATAATATTAATCCAAAAGCGCATTTACGTTCATAAAAAGATAGACGTGAGGGTGTCCGAAAATAACAGCCCGCGCGTTTCACTTTAGGGAGGTATCTCTCTCTCTCTCTCTCTCTCTCTCTTTGTCGTGAATTTTTCTCAGGTCAAGCTCAACTACACGCACTGC